GCACTTGGCTTTATGGTATGTGGTTATAACAGCCTAATGAAATAAGCATATGGGATAAATTATTAGCCATGCTTGTCTTAGGATAGTGGGCTTATTAGTGAAGCTGTTTTTTTTTTCCTACATTTTGTTTATTCTATAATTAACATGCACTGCATTTATAATCAAGTTGCATCCTTAAAACAAAATCAGGAATCTGTCTCTAACTCAGGAAAAAAATGTTGAGATTTAAGCTCTTGCTTTACACCTAAAATTATAATGAATATTTCCCATGCAGCTAAGCTTACTAACATTGTGTGCAGAATAGAAAGGTGAGGCTGAAGCTAAGAATTCCCCCAGCCCCCAAAGCCTTCATGGATTAATTAAATGAGGGAGGTAATTATTCTAGGCCACCACAGATAATGCCAATAGGCTGAGAGCCAAGAAATTCTACACACACACACACACACACACACACACACACACACACACACACACACACACACACACACTTTCACAGGTGATTATAGTGTAGGTAGATGAGCAAGACCTTTGAGCAACATAGATCTGAAGAAGAGGGCTCTGTGAAGGCCTTGAACAGAATAAAAAATCTGAGATAACCATACTGGAAAGTCAGAAGAATAAAGTAATTTAAAAAATAAAGTTGGGGCTGGGAAGGTGGCTCAGTGGTAGAGTGCTTGCCTTGCATGAATGAGGCCCTGGGTTCAATTCCTCAGCACCACATAAGCAGAAAAAGCCTGAAGTAGTGCTGTGGCTCAAGTGGTAGAGAGCTAGCCTTGAACTGAAGAGCTGAGGGACAGCCCTAGGCCCAGAGTTCAGGCCCCACAACGAACCAAAAAAAAAAAAAAAATATATATATATATCAGAGGCATATTGGGATGAAACAGTATGTTCACCATCGTGGCTACATATGAGAATCACTTAAGGAGCTTTTAAAAACTCATGAACAGCCAGTCACAGGTGGCTCATGCCTGTAATCCTAGCTACTCAGGAGGCTGAGATCTGAAGATTGTGGTTCCAAGCTTGCCCGGGCAGAAAAGTCCTCATGAAACTCTTATCTCCAATTAACCACTGTGGCTCAAAGTAGTAGAGCTCTAGCCTTGAGCAGAAAAAGCTCAGGGACAGTGCCCAGGTCCTGTGTTCAAGCCCATGACTGACAAAAACGAACAAACAAAACCCCCCAAAACTACAAAATTAGCATGGGAATATCTTCATCCAGGCTGAAGGTGTACAGAGATAGCTTTCCTGTGAGAACCAGAGGGATGGAGCGTGAACTCTGGGCCTGGGTGCTGTCCTTCAGCTCTTCAGCTTAAGGCTAGCGCTCTACCACTTGAGCCACAGAGCCACTCCTGGCTTTTTCTGCTTATGTGGCGCTGAGGAATCTCACCTCATGCATGCGAGGCAAGCACTCTATCACTGAGCTACTTTCTCAGCCCTATTTCTTTTATTTTGTGAAGATATATATACTTTCTAACAAGCAAATGGTGCCCTCAAAATAAGGCAAAAGTGGATAAGCTTAATTTGCATGATCAAGTGAATATTTTAGGTTTGTTAAAAGGTAGTACATCTCAGCTGAGCATGGTTCATGACTGTAATCCTAGCTACTCAGGTGAGGATCATGGTTCGAAGCCAGCCCTGGTCAGGAAAGTCTGTGAGACTATCGCCAATAAACTACTAAGAAAAAGCTGGAGGTGGTGCTGTGGCTCAGGGACCAAAAGAGGCTCAGGGACAGTGCCCAGGACCTGAGTTCAAGCCCCAGGACAAGAGAGAGAGAGAGAGAGAGAGAGAGAGTGAGAGAGAGAGAGAGAGAAGAGAGAGAGAGAGAGAGAGAGAGAGAGAGAGAGAGAGAGAGAGAGAGAGAGAGAGAGAGAGAGCAACAGACAGACAGACAGGCAGACAGACAGAGAGTAAGAGCACAGAAACATTGTCATTATCTAGTAGAGCATTATTGGATTTTGGATACTTGAGACAGTTTGAAATTTTTTTTCTTGGCAAGTTATGTCCATTGAACTTCATGAACATATCTTCTATAATGATGATCAATTCTGATAAGTCCTATAATTACTTCATATATTTTATGCTATATTTACCGTGCCCCTCTCTAATGAGAAGCAGCAAAGACTCTTACAAACTTTTAAATTTAGTTTACACGAAGTGATGTGCATATTGAACACTAATCTGCAAATTCAGAATCTGAAATGGTACAGAATCTGATATTTATTTTTGCCGTGTTATAGATTCAACTCTAGCCTTGAGCAAGGTAGGTAAGCACTTAAATTTAGCCAATGGGAAAGCTAAATAAAAGAGGGCAATAAAATTTTATTAAGAAAATGGAAACAGTAGAAATTGGAATCATAAAACCAAAGTAGACTTCAAGTTCAAAACTAAAGATGTGCACAGGAAATCTTGAACTATAAAACAGCCTCAGAATATAGGAAGAAACAACCCAACATTACTCATAAATGCAAAATAAAACCTCACTGAGGGGCCACTTCTTACCTATGGACTAGCCACATCAACTCTCCCCAAATATTATTGATTTTTGGCCTTGACAGTTACTGCTGTAATTCTATTAGGCAATAGGTCAGTTTGTATAAATTACCTATTGATTCATCCCCAGACCAGCTGGAGGATTTTATCAATAAGCAATTAAAGAACCCACCCTGGAAAGCATGATCTTTTGATAATGTATATTTAATACATACATTCAGAATGTGTCTAATACATTTAATATGTATATATTATTTAGCTTTGGGAATTATGGATTTTGAAATGATTAAAACTAAAGCTTGTGATTACTATAGCCGAAGGTTAGCTGGAAATACTGTCATGGAATACCATGTTTCAGACTTCCATTTTATCATGATCAGAAATGTTCTATTATTATTACTTTTTGGTTGTTGGTTGTGGGGCCTGAACTCTGGGCCTGGGCACTGTCCCTCAGCTCTTCAGCTAGTGCTCTACCTCTTGAGCCACAGTACCACTTTTGGCTTTTTCTGCTTATATGGTGCTGAGGAATTGAACCCAGGGCCTCATGAATACAAGGCAAGCACTCTACCACTGAGCCACTTTCCTAGCCCCAGAAACATTCTATTATTTTTAAGAAATGCTGTTCTATCAGAGCTCTTTCTCCATCTCTACCCCATTACTTCTTTAGAACAGGCAACATGGAACATCCACTCTGTCACATGTGTGTATCTTTATAGAGCTTGTCTTAATTGCCCTGAACAGGGCAAGGGGCACTACTGTCTTGTTTTCATGGTACCAAGTTATACTCAGGTGGTTTCATTGTTTCTGCTGCAGAATGACATCGTGAGATAGTATAGTTTGATATTTCTGGTGTCAGTATCAAGTGTTCTCCCCTCATTCCCAATGATGGTATGTAGAGGTAGGGCCTGGGGGAGGCTGCTGGACTTAGGTCACAAGAAGGGAACCTTGTAAAAGGATTGCCACGTGAGGCCGAAGGACCTCCCTGGCTTGTAAGGGAACTGGAAGGAGGCAGCCATGGGAGAAGCCAGAAGAGGCCCTCCCTGAACCCAGCCACACTGATAGCCTGGTCTTGTGGCTGGGACCTCCAAGACTGAGCAGTGTTTGTGGTCTTAGCCATTCAGCCCATGGGTTTCCATTGTAGCCCCTGAAGTAAGACATTCTTCTTCAATTAAAAAAATGTATACACGACAGTGGTTCTCAGATGGCAACCTTGCTTTCCTACAGGGCACTTCATGGTGTCTGAAGACTTTTCCTCCTGTGCTGAGGATTCACTGCAGGGAATCAATGCTGGTGAGTGCTGTATACTGCTCAACTCCCCTTGACCTACTTACAAAATGGGAGGAGTGGCTAGGTCGACCCTGATGGAGAGTCAGCCACCAGCTGGCTTTAATTCTTATCTCCCTGAGGTTTTCACTGTCTCATTTGGGACACACTGAAGGACCAGGACATGGCAGTGCAGTTATTTTAGAACAAGTAACAAGTGCTACATAGAGTATGAAGTATTTGAATAACGACATGTACAACGGCCCCAATATCTGACTCAATCTGCAATTGAGACACATTAGGTGTAAATGCCCAAGGTGAGAGTTTCTCACAAATCTTCACATCACTAAGCAATCCAGCTTGTTACCATAGAAACATTCACATCAGAACAATGGCGCTCCTCCAAGAACGTATTTATTTACATGAAAACACCACTTTATACAAATTCAGCAAGTCTTAAAGAAGGGTCTGCCTAGGCTTGCCTTCTTCACTCCCTCATTTTTCTTCATTTTCTTCTTTTTGGTATCAGAAATAAAATGTTTCAGAATGGATGAAGGAAATAGAATCTGCTTCTCCTCCCCTCCCCCACCTCAAATTACTTCATCCTTCAAAGAATGTCATCCTTCAAAGAAAAGTCTTGCCCAAGGTTATTTTATTTAATTTATTTATGTAATACAGTATAGAAAGCTATCATGGCATAAGCAATGATTCTGTACAATCATCCTGTAGATTTGTTTTTGGAGAATTCTTGGTAATTTGAGAACAGCAGAACATCCCCTACCCCCACCCATAAAAGTGCTTACAATGAACAGGGATTTTTTGTTTTTTAATTAAAGATCCAAAGGTACATGGATCAAAAAAGTTCAAATTCCCAATGCCTAATGTGTGCACATAAAACAGGCACAAAGAAATAAATGTGTATCTTCTCAATTCCTATATCACAAATATAGCAGAAGCAGCAACCTGTACAGTAAATGCAATCATGGGGGGAAAAAGTTCTCTAAATCATTTGGAATACTTAAAAAAATGTTTAACTTTAAAATGCATAGTGATCAGGAAAAGAATGCTTAGGCAAGAGAAGCAGCTAAACTCCCACGTTCACACGAAGCATCCCCCATCGATTTTTTTTTAAAGCATATTTCAAGTAGGACTTAATTGGGCCACAAAGCACAAGAATAATATACAACGGGCTAAGGGTCTATGTATGTGATAAATAATCAGGAGAGAATCTATTCATGCACTAGATTGATACAGCTAAGTTCTTTACAGTACACAAAATCCATTAATAATGTAGTGTAGAGACCAAAATGTAAAGAGAGAGAATACATGACTGATTTTGTATATTAAGTCAAGTTCAGGCATCTACTTGTGTTACAGCATGGCTGTCAAAAGGCGATCATGAGTAAATAATAAAACAGAAGGATTTGTTTTTATTCTTTTCCCCACATTATTCTATCAATGAACACCGATGGGTAGTGAAGCAATGGTTTCGCTGTCCAACTTCCGAGGCTGCTTTGGCGGTGGTCTAGTTCTGCATCTGCTCGAAGAACTTGTAAGTTGGATTCTCGTAGCCATTCTGCTGCATCTTGGAGAGGTGGCGCTCCTCAGGGGTCACAGCAGCATCAACCTGAAAGTGTTGAGAACTGAGTTTAAAATCAAGATAGACACACACACACACACACACACACACACACACACACACACACACACACACGCCACAGAAGATCAGCGTGGTATGGCCGTATCCTTTAAGAATGCACAGTACTATTAAGGCAGTAGAAAGATAGATTGCAAGTATTCTTCTTTTGCCAAGAATGCTGAACACCCATGATGGACTTTCCTTCACTACTTGGGCATCCAGCAGAGAGCCTTTGTCTCTCAGTTATGCAGATGCTTCATCCAGCCACCAGGTGGCGATGAAAACCTTGATGTGCAGGCTCAGGTCCTCAACCCAAAAGTTAACTTGGGTACCTCTGTTTCGTATCTTTGTCTTCCCTGTTGGCTAAAACAGGGCACAGGCAGCTGTAAGCTCAAGAGCGAAATCCAGGAGTATCAGAGAGTGACTGGTAAAGGATACTATGTAATTTTTTTCTACAGCATAGAGAAGAATTCTCAATTTCTTGGAGTTCAGTGTTTTCTCATGATTATCATCTGGTAATTATCATCATCTGTCTGTTCCAATCACATTGTATGTATGTATGTATGTATGTATGTATGTATTATACATACATTCAAAGCTTGTCTAGGCTGGTTTTGAACTGTAATCCTCAGATGTCAGTCTCCTGAGTAGCTAGGATTAGAGGCATGAGCGACCAGTGTCGAATGACATTTTATATTTATGAAAATAAATAAACTAAATAAGTAAATAAACTCTGAAATTCTTAATGAATATAATAAAAGGAAATCTAGAGTAAAGACACAGTGCCCGAGATGGGGTACATTTCTTTTTTCTGCTGTGCGTCCTGACTTAATTTTCTATTCACAGAAGAGCCAGGCTGCTGCGGTGAACTGTTCCTGTGACGCGTCCCGTGACAGCGGCCTGCAGTGACTCCCGAGACAGGCCTGGCTGTTTCCCGGAGAGCCAAGCAGCACTGAACAAGTGCTGTCACTGAACAAGTAAGTGTCACACGGGAGCCAGTACACAGAGGACACTTCTTGAATGGATGTTTTGCTATCGTTGTCCTGTGGGGAAAAATTCACCCACGTTTTCTCCAGTCCTTCCTACTTCCTTCCATCTGCACCGTTGTCAACAAATGAGGTCACTAGGCTTTAATTGGCAATTGTGTAATTAGCCTGCAGGCTTCCAAGTTAGAACACCACCCTTAAAGATGAGCACCTGAAAAGGAGTGACTTTTCCCACTCTTTATCTGTCTGCTTGCCAGGGAAGAGCCTGGCTGTGGCAGTATGCCTCTTGAACTTGGACACTATTTGAGACAGCTCATGGAGAATGCAAAAAAGGCTAGTTAATTTTTTTTTAATTATCTTGCTTTGGAGATGAAGGACACAACTGCCTTTATTTTTCATTCTTTTGAGGATAGAAGAAAAATCCATCTGACTGCTTGACTGTTATGGTTATTATACTTTTATTTCCTCCCGGACACCTGTCAGCCTTCACACTGTCAACAATTATTTGCATTCATCAAGGGCAGCAGAACACGTGTTATCTAATCCTCTTCAAACTCCAAAGCCAAACTTAGAGGCCTCCCAGAAATGCAAGGCTCAGAGGGCGCATGCAATGCAGGCAGCTAGATTTCCGGCTGCTTGCTGGCCTCGGTCCCAAGTGCTAAACCTCAGTGCCATTGCTGCTGGGAGGAGTATAAAAAGCTACAGCATCCACACATGGATTTTTTTTCCTCCTTCCTTCCCTCCCTCAAACCCTTCCCTCTTCTCCCTCTCTTCCTTCTTTCCTTCTCAGTACTGGGGATTGAACCAGTGCTAGGTCAGAACTCTATGATTTGAATCATGCCCAACCTGTTCTGTTTGTATTTTGATTTCGAGAAAGGGAAAGCCCAGGCTGGCCCCAAACTTGTGATCCTCCCGCATCTGACTCCTGAGTAGCTGGGCTCTCAGGCCTGCATCGCATACCTAGCTATATATGTATATTCCATATCCAATGCCCGTGTACATTAGTGAGGACCATGGGAGACCAGCAGCATGGTGCTTCGTGTGGAGCCAGGGGTCTCTGCCACCTCTAACAGGCCTCTGGCTTCAACAATTTCTTGCCTTCATTCTTACTGTCTTTTTTTTTTTTTTTTCAGAATCTAGGACAATGCGTCAAATCCTTTCCCTCCACGTTCCACAGCTATTGCTTGGTAACTGACCAAAAGAAACATTAACCCAGGGAAGTATGTTCAAGAGGTAAGGATATAACTTGAAAACAAGAGATACCATTTCCTATTCCCTAAGGGTTGCTTGGAGTAACAAAAATGAATGAGTTTACTATAACACTACGTGTCAATAATTCCCAAGCCTGACCATAGACCTCATGCATGCTGGGAGATTGTTAAAACTCAAGACTCTGAGCCTCCCACTGGGGGAGCTCTATGTATCTAGGAATTGGAGAGCAGAGGAGCTGGGGAACTGTTCTTTTAGAAAAGAACGTGAAAGGTCTCAAGGACTTTGAGAAGTCCCATGTATCCTCCGGCGGGAGCGGGGAGGAGAGCGAAGAGCTCTGGAGTCCCCTCCCCCGACCTTCATTACTACGCAGCATTGTGTTACGCTCAAATTCCTACCACAGACAAGCGTTTGTTCATGTTGGATCTGTGACTCAGGGCCTTATACTTACTCGGCAGGCATTCTACCACTTAGGGCATGCCTCCAGTCCTTTTTGCTTTATTTTTCAGCCATGGTCTCATATCTTTTGTTGAGGCCAGCCTTTGATCGAGATTTTCCTACCTAGTTGGGATTACAGTATGTACCACTGCCTCAGCCTGGTGGTTCAGATGGGAGTCTGAAATGTTTCTCTTAGGCTGGCCTCAAATCTTGAGCCTCCTGCGAGCCATTACGCCAGCACCTCAGATTGTGACCACGCTGGGAGAAAGGGCTTTCAAAAGATAGAGCATCAGGTATTGCCATTGGTGTAGATCCTAATCCAGTATGTCTTACATGAAAGGGATCAGGATATAAGATGACCAGCGGAAGATGATATGAAGCCGTGGGAAGGAGTCAGCCACGTGCAATAGAAGGAAGACTCAGAAGAAGCCAACCTGGCTGACACCTTGATCTCACTTTCAGCCTGAAGAGCTGTGAGAATATTTCTAGTCTGAGTGTAATGGCTCACACAGGTAATTCCAATTATTGCACAGGCAGAGATCATGAGGAGCATCATGGTATATGAGCAGCCCAAGTAAAAGTTTATCCAGATCCCACTTCAAACAATACTACAGGCATGCTGGCGTTTGCCTACGATCCTACCATTAGAGAGACAGAGCTAGGAGGATCATGGTCCAAGGTTGGTTCTGAGCACAAATATAAGATCCTAGCTAAAAAATAACTCAAGGAAAGGGCTGGGGCACTTGCCAGCATGAGGTCCTAGTCCAAACCACTGTACTGGGATAAAGAAAGGAAATTTCTGTCACACCCAACCTGTGCTATTGTGTTATGGCAGCCATAGCAAGCTAAGATGGTCAGTTTCACTGGTTGAAACATTTCAGAGAGGAAGCTCGCTTCTTGGGCAGATTAATTAGAAGACAGAGAATCACAATAATGAAATCACAAGGGATTTTTGAATTACTCAACATAAAGACGTGTTTTCAAATGAAATGGGAAAAAATGATGTGAGGAGAAACGAGAGAGAAAATGCTGTTGCTGGCAAGGCCTAGCTTTCAGGGACACACGCGTTAGCTATATTGCTGAAGAAAAGAACAGACCTCACCGCGTGACACCTACTGGTTTCTGTAAGAGCACATTCTCTAGTTCCTGTATGATTTCTCTTCCAGTTTTTCCTGGGTTTCATTCATTACACTGCATTTTTGTGTTCAAGCACATCTAGACCTGTATACATAAAAATGGGTTTGTACCCAGTTCCAACTCCCACCAGCACTGAAACCGGGCCTAATAATCCTTAGAATTATTTTGGTAATTTATAAACTGATAGACCAACACACAATCTCAATGCTTTCATCATAACAGTCACAATAATGAAGACCTAAGCAAGAGAAGCACAGGTGTAATCTCAGCACCATGGAGTTAACAGCCATCATTTTTTTTTTTTCTAAACAAGTACTGGCATGCTCTTTTGACTAAAGCTCAGCAGCATTTCCTCCTCTCCTGGTCTTCCTTTAATTCCCACTTGCAAACTTGCCTCTAACTTCACCTACCTCCACTACGCCATGATGGATGGATGTGTACTGTTTCTTCTTCAGCATCACTAAGGTGATGACAATCACCGTTGCTATGACAACACCGCCCACCATGAGTCCAATGATGGCTCCTTTGTTTGATCCCACATCTTCTGCAAAGAACACCTTGAAAACAAAGCAAGAGAAAGGACTGTCATTGCAGGAGATACTCTGATGAGGCATGTGGAAAGCTGCTGTCCTAACTCACTCTTTTGTCTTGATTGGCAGGTCACTAGGAAGGACAATCCTTGTCTTTAGAATGATAAACAGTATGTGGCTGTCCCAGTTCTGGGAAGTCTACTCTCCCCATCATATGCCAAAGTGTTTGTGGAGATCTGGGACGCTTTGGCAGGTGCACATGTGGTGAGGGGTGGGATGGGCGCTCTTGAATCTAGCAAAGCTGTAAGGGGTAACTGGGAATTCTAAAGGGAAGTCAGCATTGTACTGGTTGCAGTGGTTTGTGACTCATAATGGCTCAACCTTAGGTGCTCTTCAAACCTGCATGCCCTCATGTCTTGGGAGACACTTGTTCCATACATAGCAGTAATCTTCTGAGACAAAGGAGTTTGAATTAACAAAAAAGACATTCTGTTACCTACTTTAAGCTACAATAGTTCAGTAAGATTCTCATTAACCTTGAGAAGCAGAATGCCTTTAAAAGATTAATAGTGTTTGAAATGGAGTACAGAGGATCTTAATAATCATGCAGAAGCCATGCTTTCTTACTCTGCTGTGATCAGAAACCAAAACTTGAAGTGTTGCTTTATTCCTGCCATGGATCTGGACTAAATACAGATAGAAATGTGGGAAGCATTGTAAAGAAGAGACTTATTCAGTGCAATAAATGTATTAAACTACATTTCTTCGTAAGCAAGTCACTGTTTTTTTTAAACTGTCTTTAAATGCAACAGTAGATGCATCCCACAGCTTTATCATTATATAAGGAGATGATTAAAACAAAGGAAACAAGAACGGAAAACATATGCCCCCATTTGTTAGGTGGGCTGGTAGAAATAGTTTGCAAATAATTCTATCAACTGAGCCCCAAGATATCAAATGCCTGAGATTCATGGCTAAAATGATCATTGAAGCAATCTGAAAAGGCAACATATGATAGCAGAGAAAGCACATTTCTCAACGGATGTTACTCATATGTATCTTCGACAAAACTAGAAACTGTTCATAATTAGGCCCCTTGCTAACTAAACAAGCTAGCTCAATATATTTATAAAAGGAAATCATTAATTAGCTAATGATACTGGAGTGAGGTAATCAGGAATGAATGTGAGTCTGGACATATCCCTGTGTCTTTAAGAAAATACTGTAATTTTGTAATATTCATTGCACTAATTGTAGTACATTATCTTATCAAGTAGTTCAGCAGAGGGAGCTGATGCCCCTAATTGCTGCTGCTGTCATTAGTCACTGTTGCATTACGGGAGGTGGTGTAATTACTGGGAAGGGATAATGTGATAGGCCCAGGAACGTGTGATCATGCACATTTGTCTTCAGCTTTCTGCCCACCAGCTCCCAATTCTTTACCAGCTCTTCCAGTCTTAAAAAAAATCTCAGCATCAGTCACATCAAGAGCATTCTGATGCTATAATAACTGGTACAAGTTAACTTGCCAGTGGAAAGTATGCTTCAAAAGTTGTATGTCTTTTTTTAAAAGAAGATGATGGGAGTTGAAATGCAAAGCTAAGCCCCCAGTCTGTGGTTTATTTGCCATAGTAACTTAGAGAGAAAAGAGGCATGAATGATAAAGGCATTTCTTTTGGAGATGAACAGGGTATATAAGCCTTATTTATGGATATTGGAAAAGACATTGAGCAATGTCCCCCCAGCAGTACTTAAACATTTCGTACAGTAAAATTTCATGAACATGTTACTGCCATTACTCATTCAATCTCCTTCCTTTGCTTACCGATAACACGGAAGGTTCCTGAGCACCGTGCAGCCTTTCAACTATCTGAATTTCTAAGATTATTATGTAATTACTAGAACTGGTTGCCTTAGAAAGGAGATGTTTTGCTTTCTTGTTTAATCCGATTCTAACATTAGGAAGAAAAGAAACATCTTTTGATGAACAGTATTCTGCTGCGGACCAGTGGCTCGTGCTTACTTCCCTGCTCTACCCACATTGGCAGCCCCACTGTCTTCCCGAGTACAGAGCTGACACCATCGGAGGTGAGGGAAGGAGAGGAAACACACAGAGGGAGGCCCAAAGAAGCCATGGGAGAGTGTTGCAGATAAGAATGTAAGCAAATGGCTATTGGAAGTCTTCTATGAATCCACCAAGCATGGGCAGGTGTTGAGGCTCTGACTCTTCAAAGACACTTGTTATCATAGGTTGATAATTCTGTATCTGAAGTGTTTGGGACCAAAGGGTTTCAACGTGATAAATTTCACAACTGCTGCACGTATGTCATATGTCGTCTTGGTGATGAGATAAAAGGTCCGAACACAAAGTCTATGTTTGGCAATGTATTTACAATAATTTAGTGCAGGAAACAGAAGTTCATGGTGTGAAATGTCCTACTTGTGGCAACCTGTCAGTGCTCACTCAGTATTAGGTCTTGGAATATTTAGATTGTGGATTAAGAGTCTCAACCTGGAATCTAGAAAACAGGGCATGGTAATGAATGTGGCAGCTACACTGAAATTAAGGCCACTTTAGGTCTTTTATAAGTTTAGTTGCCTTCCAGTCAGTAAAAAGTATATACAGTATGGAGTCTCTTTTTCTTCATGTTTTCAAGATGGTCTTTCAGGCAAGCATTTCATTTCGGCTTTTATCTTGAGTTTAACTCAGTTTAACTCAACTTATGCTCAGTTTAAGAGGAGGAACAAGAGCTAATGGGCATTTGGTCAGACAAACAGCAGTTGGGAGAGGTAAAGTTATTTTTGCATACCAGTTTTTGATGGCGAACTTCAAATCCTGAGTCATGTCGGAACTCCGCGTCCATCTTCACTTCGGAGATCTCTTCCGTCTTGATATTTGTCAACCCAGAACCTGCATTAAACCAGAGGTACAATTCACAGGAGAAACAGTAACATAAGGAGACCAAAGTGACTGCATTTACATTCTTTCTAGGCCTTAAATGAAAGGAAAATAGGTTATGGTATTCAATATTTTTTCTTATATATTTAAATCAGTAACCATCGCCCATCAAGTAAAAATAAAAGTGAAAGAAATCAGAACCTAAGACTTAAACTGTCCTTAAACATCTGCTAGAATTTAAAAATGTGGCTGGAGGCGATCTCAGTGCTGATTGGGAAATTGACAATATTGTTCTAGCAAAGGTTGGTTTGTGTCTTTTCCACTGTGTTGTGATTCCTTTAGAAAACAACGACCATCCCACAACAACAACAACAACCCACAACTCAAGGCTCTAATAATTATAATAATTATTATAATAATTATCTGGTTAGAACAGATCTGCATGAATTGATACCCTTTATACAGCTGCTTAAAGAGCATGAAAGTGAAAAAACAAGTTTAACAATGTTCAATAAAACCAATAACCCAAACCCACCTCTTCTAAGCTTCTCCCCAAGGCAGGTTCTCTTTCTTGTATGAATATAGAGGAATGAATCCGTTTGCCTCCATTTTTGGTTGCTTTTGCCCACTACAATGTCTGCCTTACATTTAACATCAACAACCATCTGCACCTTGCAGCCTGGTTCTGTCTAGAGACAGCTGGTTGGTTTCCTTCCCTCCCTCCACAGGGTAGCTTCAGACATCAAAGGAGGGGCAAGACATCCCTGTGAGTTCTTTTCTTGCTTAGGCTGCCTACTCTAAGTACCTTCAGCTCCTGTGGGAACTAATTTCTTGCTTGGAGTCTAATTGCTCTTCCAAACTTGTCTACAGGGGGCTGTGAAACTTGTCTCTCACCTGCTGACATGGAAAGTCAGACCAGGAATACACTGGTCTGACAAAGAGACCTATGCAGAGGAAAAGGGAAGATAATCTGGCAAAACCTAGGGAACCTATGTAATTGTCCAACTGCTCACAAAGTTTTCATTTAATAAACTATCTGAAAGCAGGCCATGATCAATGTCAATCATGCACGGCTTACAGATCGTGAGGCTACCTTCTCTCCCTTCTGATTTACACAACTATACTCCCTTATCCTTTGCTTGCTACTCTTCTGTCCTCAGAGTACCACAAAATCCATGAATTGTCATTCTGTTCTTTGCCTCCCTCCAGTTCTCTTGGCATGAGATTTGCCTGGGTCCTAAGTCAGACTTAGTAGAAAGAGCTGGGTAGTTTTCAGACATACAGCTGTGACACATTCCCTTCCCCAGCTCTGATGGGGAATGTAATAGCTGGCATCCATTGAACAGAATATGGCAGAGGTGCCAGTGAGTGACTTTGAGACTGGCTTATAAAAGGCACCGAAGCTTCTTTCTTCTTCCCCTCCAGGCTCAGTGGGTGTATGGGAAACAGCTACCATGCGATGGTCTGGGCAGGGCTCCTGCTTCCTGTTAACAGTCATGTTAAAAGCAGCCTCACCAGCTGAACCGACAGAAAACTATAAGTTTGGTAATGTCTCCATTTCAATCTCATGAGAAACCTTGGGCCAAATCCACACAGCTAAACCACATTCCAAATGCTGACTGGTAAAAACCATTGTGAAAACTCTTTTCAACTGCTAAATTCTGGAACTATTTGTTACACAATAGATACTTAGTATAAAGGCCAATTCTCCTTTTTCTCACTTAGGTCTATGTTTAATTATCAGAAGATCATTGTCTTCATTATAGACATAACAGACACGATCAAAGCAGGATGGCTTTCTTTGCTCTCTCATCCCTTTAGTTCTGGTCTTCCCATCTTACCTTCCAACTGCATCACTCTGTTCTTCCTCTAAAACTACCAGTATGATTTTAAAAAACGAGTTTCAACTCATTCTATCTTCCAGGCTTCCTACCACTAGGTTTTAAGACAGTGATACCAATGCTCTTTTAATTCTCACTGATTTATATCTTATGGCTTCCTACAAGCCCCTTATGTTGGGAATCTTTCCCTTTATATCAATGGTGACTTCTTTACATCTCCTATCATCAGAATCTAGCAATGAAAGAGTTCTGATTTCTGAGATTTTTCTGAAAACCCTCCTACCTAGTCTTTGGTTTTAGATTTGGGAGCCAATCACACTAAGAAAACTAATGTATAATAAACTCTCCATTCAAGCTTTCATCAGCATAGAGTATTTCTGAAAGGACATTGGGAATACTTTTGGTAATCAAACAAAAGTCAAATTCATGTAACTGGTTAGTAGGGCTAATAAATAATGTTTACCAGTCATTACTTTGAGAGTACTTCAAGAGTACTACAACTGAGTACTCTGAACAGAAAAGAGTTCTTGATAAGTTTTGTTCATCATGGAGGTCATTTAGTGAAGACTTGGTATACACTAAAATCAAACTTCATAAAAACCCCAGTAAATTAGGAATAATAAACCAATAGGAAGGTATCACCCACAGTAAGCTGATACTGCATGTAATAAATGCCATGGGCCGTTGCTGCTTCCAGTCTAAGCCCGGGAGACTCCAGCTCTTTCTCACTGTCTGTCTCTCTCTGTCTCTCTCTGCCACAGTTTCTCTCTCTGTCTCTGTCTGTCTGTCCCTGCCATGATGATGGAAAGATCCTATCATTTGCTCTAGGGCTGAGAGAGTTTTGTTCCTTAGGATACCTTGTACATGGCCTGGGGTTAAAGACCTAGTTTGCTTTGTTAGGCCTTGAGAATGGTAGAAATACAATACAATGGAAAGGTAGCTTCTACCTCATGTGAAGAGACTGCTAATGTATTTTCCCTGTAATCTGTCCTACAGACCCTGGTAACAAGCCAGGAGGAGTAGATGTAATAACCACTCTGCCAAAATTTCAGCAGTTGTTACTGTAGTTCCAGTTTCTGGAACATTCTGGCTTTTCAGAGAAGGAGAAGTCATTCTCCTCACCATGACTACATAGCCCCGAGTGAGAGAAAAGAAAACCCAAACCTTGTTTCTGAGTGACAACGGTCATTACTCAAAATTGATGGCACATGACTATCCTGGGATGGGTGTCTACTTCTGAAAAGTCTAAAAATATAATTTGTCCCATTAGACTTAAGTGTGTAGTCTCAGAAAAGGTGATAATGAAGATACCAAATGAGTGCTATAAACTAAAAAGGAAACCTAGGCAAATGCTTGATGGACCCACTACAGGCCACAAGAAATAGTAGAATCCACACATATCCTAAGGCATATGCAACAAATATTGCTCTTGATAAATGTAGCTGAGCTCAAATCCTACACATTCATTCTCCTGTATCTTCCTGGGTGAACACAAGTCTTACATGGTAGGACAAGGAAGCCTTGCATAGGACATTCTGTTCTTTTTTTTTTTTTTTTGTCGGTTGTGGGGCTTGAACTCTGGGCCTGGGCGCTGTCCCTCAGCTCTTCAGCTCAAGGCTAACACTCTACCACTTGAGGCACAGCACCACTTCTGGTTTTCTGGTGGTTTATTGGAGATAGGAGTCTCCCGGTCTCTCCTGCCCAAGCTGGCTTTGAACCGCGATCCTCAGATCTCAGCCTCCTGAGTAGCTAGGATTACAGGCGTGAGCCACCAGGGCCCGGCGGACATTCTGTTCTTAATAACGAATTATTCTCCTCTTTGCTAATAATCCGCAAGCCTCAAATCTTTCAGTCTGAACTCCAGGAAGTTTCCTGGGTAATACACAGCTAGGTTAGTCCTCCACCTGCTCTCGTCACAGAACAGCCTTGTTTACACAAAGGTAGCTCTGTGTTTCTCTGACTTCTGAATACGTGAAAGGTCTTCTTTCTATTTTACTTCAAGCTCCTGAGAGCAGGGACCTTATCGCTTCATTTCTATACAATTTACTCCACTCATTTATGTGAAATATCAAAACAGAATAATACTTTTACTCTAACAAAGATTTTTTTTTAGCATGTCTTTCTCCTGTTTGGACAACAAACTGTTCTCTAGTTGTTCTCTTCAAACAGATTATTCTTGTTGGCCAGTATTTGGAAATGTTCGTTGCGTGTTAGATTTTAAAAGAGAAAGCTGGCTGGTGCTATGTTAGGTCCAACTTGTAACAGTATAGGTATTGGGTGAGTGAGGGCTTCCAAGACATATCTTACTTTTGTCTGTCTTCTTTAAAGTGTCATTAAAAAAAAAGTCTCAAGGCGGTGTACCAACGCGAGCTGGTTTTAGTTGCAGTGGGAACAGAACTTACCTCTGCCTCGAGCCTCATGAGCTGGCTGAGCAGAATGGGGCTGTCAACCCCAGGCAACCTGAAATTCACTGCCCTGACACTAGCAATAAGGAAGACACGGGGAGAGCCCAATGGCCTCAGAGTCACTGTAATTCAAGCTCCCCTTAAAAGCCCTTCAGACAAGAGATTCATAAAATCAATGAGACCAGCTGTCAAGATGTGTCACTCCGCTGTCTCTGCTGTCACTGTGAATCACAGCGTGAGGGCACAGAAACGCCACAAGGACTCTCAGTTTAGATCCGTGACTGTGGCTGAGCCTGTATGAGGGCAGTGAGAGAGATGGGGTCTAACTGTGGTCTTGTGTGGGCGGGATCTGAACCAGGGAGCACATGCTGACCTTCCAGTGGTGATTGAGGTCATGAAAGGAAGGTCAATGACCTGTTCCTTGACTGTTGCGTAGGACCCGGGGACAAAGAAGAAGGTCAACGCAGGAAGATACTGTGCTATTGGGAGTAAACTCTCTCTAGAATAAAGACTTTTCAATTCAAAAATGTGCTCCCTTTTTCTGAGTCACTGAGCAGACCTCAGGCATGTGTATGTTTCTCATGGTGTGGCATTATTCTTCAAATTAAGCTCAAGCTGTAGGCTACATATAGAATAGAAGCAGAAAATGAATTTCATTTGAATGTTTGGGAAAGTATGAAAAAAAGTATCTGTTTTGCTATTAATGGAATTTGTAAGTTATATAAAGAATAAAAAGCTGATGTGCAAAATTGGGCATATACATCTGTTGTGTTATTTTAGTTATTCATTCAGAGTAAGTATATACAATCTACAGAAGAGAAAAAAAGTATTTCTGGTTCTGGAGGTATACCAGGGAATCGTGTCTACTCTAGTAACTAACTAAAAATCTCAGCCCCGTTTGGTTAGAAGAGGATCCAAATGGATACTGAACAAGGAAGGGGAGAGATTTCCCTGGAACCAAATCCTCACCAAGGCCTGTACCTGTCTGGGCATCTGTTTTTGAATTTCTAATAATTTTCTCCATTAGTTTAAAAACACAGAAAGAAAAGAATCTACCATTTACTAGGAAAGGCTCTTCTGTTTTGAGTTTTACAAGGAAATCTCAGAAACTACATACATTGTTTAATTAGGCACTTGGAAAACTGAAGCATCAGGAAAAGCGAAGTAGAATTTTTTTTAAAGATTGGTTTCCAAGGTCTTTCATTCTCAATGCCATTCTGTAATGCTTGTGATTCTGAGCTTATTGAATTTGTCTGCTCAAGTGGAAGCTCGCGAGATGCTGAGAGAAGTTAGGTTAGATACCTGGTCGAGTGGTCAGTCCTCGGTCAGCAGCGGGGCGGGCATCGACAGGCTCAACTGGGCACAGGAAGCAAGAGACACACACAGAAAGCAAAGGAGACAAATCAAGATGGTAAGTCGTGGCTTCTGAACACAGAGCAGGGAACAGCATGTGCAATAAACAAGTGATTAAAAAAAGGAGCAGCTGGAAAAGAATATCTGAGAGCTAATCTTGGGCCATCAAGAAATGGTAGGGTAGCACTTCAAAAGGCTTATCACTGTAGCTTGCCAATCCATCTCTTTAGTTTGCTCATAAAAGCATTCACTGGGATGTACAGGAACATCAAAGAAGAGGGGTGGAGGAGGGCAGATTTTCTTCTACTTTAGAGATTAGAAATAATATAGATTATACCCAGCCCTGTGGTAAACTTTAAAGATACCTCCTTTTACAGCAGTTCAATCCTATCTCTGTTTCCAGTTAATTAACTACAAAAGGATTCTGTTAAATCGCCAGAGGAAATGCAAATATGAATTTATTGGGAGAGCAAAGTTTCACCACATAATGTGCCATTTAGTGAATCGAATCTGTCCTTCCTTTGAGGGAAGAAGAGATAAACCACAGAGTCTCTCAATGGTTTTTAAAAGGCTGGCCTCCCCTGGATAAATGACACTCAGCTGAAATGTGTGAAATGAGACTACTTCCTTTTATATTTGCCCACATTCCTTACAATTCCTTTGTATGCATTCTGTGTCTGACTCAATGAAAACAGAGTCAGGGGCACAATGGTAATACCCTTGCGCACAGTCATCTGGCATTTCTAAGAGCTTCTCTTTGCCAGAAAATATTTCCTGGAGCTTATATTGGTCTTTGAAGAATTAAGGAAAAGAGAGAAAAATAAGCTTTGAGGAGTTATAAATGGCCAAAGGGCAGACAGAGCCACTGGAGGAGAAAAAGGCCCTTTGGTGAGGTGTGGCAATGGAAAGGTAAGCAGGTAGAATACCTGAGTGCAGGTGTTAAGGAAGACAAAGGTGCTTTTGATGGATGGCTTTGGGAGCAGCAATTTCAACTCTACAGTTCACTGGCACTCAGAAGCCAAGCATTCAAAGCCAAATCCATTTTGAAAGTCACACATTGAGGGGGAAGAACATGGCCATAAATAAGTATTTAAGTTATTGATAGCACCAAAAAAACCAAACCAAACCAAAACCAAACCACAAAATAACCCACAAAAAAGCAAAAAAGCATGTGATCTGGATCTTTTTTATGTAGCGATTGGCAGCATGGTGAATAGATGGGAAGAAGAAGTGGGAAATAGCCCAGGCCCAGCATTTACAATGTCCATCAATTTTGGCAAACCATCACTTTCAATATAGCTGTTTCTCCCATATGGGAAAGAAAAGAGTAATATCTGTATCTTCCAACTGTAGTGAGGAACAAATAATGATTAAAAATCTGCTTCAGAAACTTCCAAATACTATAAAACTGCAGCTATTAAATATATTACTATTAAACATTCTTGCTTCCTCTTTTGGTGGTACTGGGGCTTGAACTCATGACTTCATACCTTCTAGCAAGTTGTTTTACATCCAAGCCAGGCCTCCAGCCCCCTATTATTAAATATTCTCTAATGCCTGCATGGATGAACTCTAGTACTTTTTTTTTTAACTGTGAAAATACCGTACAGAGGGGTTACAATTACATGGGCAAGGTAATGAGTACATTTCTTATCAAACATTGCTGCCTCCTCCTTTGTTTCTCCTACCCATCTCTTCCCATAACCCCCCTCCCCCCAAAGTTGTAAAGTTTGTTTTTTGACATAACGACTTGTACATCTCATTGTTGCAATGGATCTACCTGTATCCCTATTTAAACAATTGTGCATTAGAATAAGGTGGTTTCTTTCTCAGCTCAGCACTATTATTAACAAGGAAATATAATTTCTCTGCATTTCATCTTCTATCCTCATCTTCAATATCTACCAAATGTCTTTATTAGTCTTTGTAAAATGGAGTTACCGAAAAGATTACTGTACTTTTTGAGGATTTCTTGGTCCAAATGGTGCTTCAGTTGTGAGTAGGAAGACACCAAATTATACTCATAAGGGCAAACAGGTAAACTGAAGTGGCAGTAAGCACATGTATCAACAATCTCATCCTTAGAAAGTACATCTGGACAAGTCTTATTTTTTTTTTATCAAGTTTAGTTTTGTCAAAAGTAGATGGGAATTTTCTAGGGCTCAAATGTATACAAATGATAAAACACCCACAATTATTACTAAAGAAAACACTAGTATCTCATGTGCATAGAAAAAGACTAAAACATTAGTACAAACTGATTTCATTTGTTAATCACTGGGAAGGAGATTTTTTTTCCCCCTATAAACTTCCCTACCCTAAAATTTAGAAAAGATCTGTAGAATACAGGAATCATGCATTTGTAATATACTTGTATTTCAATGAATACCCAGACACTGGGCCTCCCTCTGGTCTTAACTGATTGGTCTTGAGAAAAACAACACATTTCTGGTAATCATTTGAAGCTGTGATGATAAGGGCTGCATGGACAATGAAAGGAAATTCTCTGAGAACTTAAGATAATTTCAATAGTATGGAGTGTGTGAACATTTCTATGCAAACAAAGTTAGCCAGGACCAAGCATCTGGGGAAAGGGAGGAGGGAGATGAGAGGGCAAAATAGGAGCTATCTTTAGAAAAGATTACATTGGTTTTATGGACTCACTGTTTAGGCCATGTGATTCATCCATAGATGGGAAGACAAAGGACTCTCTAATAGGCTCCTGGTTCCATTAAAAATAAAAGCCAAGTACCACTGAATATTTACTGTATTCCAGGTCCTTTGTGAAGAGGTTCGCAGGCCCTCTCACATAATGCACACGCCAGAGCTTTGAGCTAGGAATGAATATCAACTTTACAGACTAGGCCACATGTAGATAGGCTAACTTGCTTGTAATCACAGGCAGTACCAGAATTTACCTCAGATTTACATCATTCAGGGTGAACAATAAGTGAGTTGTACCCACCATCCCATAGGATGGTTGACAATGTTGAAGTGGTTTTCGTTGTCCCTAGGCTAGAAAAAGAGAGGACACTGTTTGCATTTAGTGGGTGGGAATCAAGGATGTGATTCTGTGCACAGGAAAATCCCAACAAATTCCACACACTGCGTGATGTTCTGATTTCTTATGGGACAAACAGGTGTTCACAATAACTGACCTAAATAAACAATTTATTTGTTATTAGCTTACATTAGTTAAAGAGAAAGATTTCATTGCGAACTATATTTTATTTTATATTTGTGTGTGTGTGTGAGAAAGAGACAGAGAGAGAAAGAGAGAAAGAGAGAGAGAGAGAGAAAGAGAGAGAGAGAGAGCGTATACTGGGCCTATGTGTTCTTCCCTAGCCTTTTCTGCTCAAGGCTTGAACCACAGCTCTACTTCCAGTGTTTTGGGGGCTAATTGAAAGTAAGAATCTCATGGACTTTTCTGCCCTGACTGTGTTTAAACTTCAATCCTCAGATCTCATCCTCCTGAGTAAGCAGAATTACAGGTGTGAGCCACTGGTGACCGACTGACTCAATTTTATATATAAACACAAAGCCTCTTTGCATAGACTTTAGTGTAACCTGAACATCTCTGAATCACACTACTGTATAAACTGAAGGAAATCATGTCACTGAGTCTTCTGCCACCTGATGAGCCAAAATTAGTCAAATAGTCCTGCCTCAGTTTGCTGAGGAATCTAGAGACAAACATCACATGCTGCACTGTCCTCATTAATTGAGTCTACAATATTGTATTTTCCCCTAAGCCTTGCCACTCATCTTTATTTTAAGATTAAATTGTTGTGTGCTGGGAAGTGAAGCTCTATAATAGACAGCAAGTTTCAGACGCACTGATCCAATCCCCAGAAGACAGGTGAGTGTGTGTGTGTGTTGAGGAAACATTTCAAAATATTCAACATGAAAAGATTGAAAAATATTCAAAATGAAAAGAATGTTGGATCTGAGATTCGGAGAATTCATAGTACATATCTGCCATTCTTAGAAAGAAAATCAAGGTAAAGTTCTTGGAAAAATTATTCTTGGAAAACGTTATTTGTGCTGAGAAATAAAGGTTTGCAGTTTTATACTTCCAAACATGTAAAAATGGTTAAACAAAACCCCCCTAAGATGCCCTTTCCTAGGTAGATACTGCTGATAAGAAAGAAATCTCTGCTTATAAAAAGCACATCATCCAGGTGCACCAATTTGTTGATAGAGAAAAACTTGAATTCTCTGAACTTTCACTGGAAAGAACATTTACAGCAACCTGCTCCTTCATTTGGACAGCTGCCTTAATTTAAACTGCTAAGTGAAAAACTGTTTAAATCTTGAAAAAACTACATTTTATTTATATCTGGTTCTCTATTTTTGCCCTTACAATTTAATGCAACCTGAATTTTCATGTAGCAATAAATAGCCAACAAAGACTATTCTGGTGACTGTCAAATGTTCATTATAGAGATACGATTCTGTTTGTTGGGTGAATTTAATTTTGTTAAAAGTGGGCACTAGCTTATAAATGGAAGTTGAGTTGTTCTTTCACTGCAGAAACAACAAAAAACCTCTCAGTCAGGGTATTTAAAAAACCATCCTACAAAAAAATCACCACTAAAAAACTTAAGTTACTTGGCTTTGCAAGTAACTTAAGTTACTTTGGCATATAGTACAAGCTATTTATGTATCCATTTTACAATTATATAACTTTCTGTTTCTCTCTCTCTCTCTCTCTTTCTTTCTTGCTTTTTTTCTTTCTTGCTTTTTTCTTTATTTTTTCTTTCTTTCTTTCTTTCTTTCTTTTTTCTTTCTTTCTTTCTTGCTTGCTTGCTTGCTTTCTTTTCCTTAAGATAGGTCTTCTTATATTGCCTAGCCTGGTCTTGAGCTTGCTTGCAGATTCAAATGATCCTTTTCAAATTAGCCTGCAGATTAGCTGGGATTTCAGGTGTGTATCATCACACCTAACTCTACACAGTATTTAGTATTTTTTTATATTTCTATACTTTTCATATAAAAACATGGCTTCTTCATTTCTTCCTCCAGTGCTAAAGATAAAACAGGGCCTTGCCTATGTTAGGTGAGTGTTCTACCACTTAGCCACATCGCAGCCTGAGAACTGCTTCTTGAATGACACATTGTGGGTCCCCATTTTATAGGATTCCAATGATACTTATCTTCCTACATGCAAACCTGCTTTGTTGGAAAACCAAACGCAGAGACCTTTGGCTTTTACTCAAAAGCACTGTATGTCACTATGATCATCCCCTTTTGGCACCTGCAAAATGGGACTGTTAAGCTTTGATCACAAACAAAACCTAGCTTTGTAGCATGAAACTGTACTGAATTATACAAAACCATCTTTATGTAGTTAATAATTATATAGTAATACTTTCTAGTAGTCATTTCTTTCTTTTTTTTTTGGTGCCAGTCATGGGGCTGGAACTCAGGGTCTGGGTGCACTACCACTTGAATTACAGCTCCACTTGTGGCTTTTTGGTGTTTAATTGGAGATAAGAGTCTCATGGACTTGCCTGCCTGGGCTGGCTTTGAACCATGATCCTCAGATTTCAGACCCATGAGTAGCTAGGTAGCTAAGGTTATAGGTGTGAGCCACTGGTGCTCTGTGTGTAGTCACTTTTTAAAATAAATGAAAAGACAATATTATTACCATATAAAAGTCACAACTCAGAGAGAGACACACAGACACTAAGACACACAGAGCCTAGAACACCCCTGCTTTGGCCAGGGACTCTTACCTTCATTTTCTGTATTGGCCGGCACCGAGTCCACCCCGAAAGGATGCCACGGCTGCAGATCATCCAGGCTGAACTCGCCATTCACGGGAAGAAGCTCCACAGTGGTTTTGGTTTCCGTCAAAGATGGCATGAGAGCATCGTTTCCGTAACTGATTCTTGGCTCACTGATCATGTTGGCCAAGACATCATCCGAGTAGTTTTGCTCTTTCTGAAGCAGCTCATCTACATAAAACCAAAGCACACCTTGGTGAGTGATGATAACCATACCAAGAGCAGCCAGGGCTCCCACTGATGGCCGTCACACATGGCTAGACATCATTTAAAGTCACCATGAGAGTTTTCATCTCTGCTTCATAGATGAGGAATGAGGAAGGCTAGACACTTATGCAGTCACAGTTAGTAAGCCTTCTTGGATGCTCTGAATACATGATGAACGGCATTGGGCTAATGTACTGAACTGTCACACCCCTCATTCCACACAGGTCTTAAGGAGCTGGAGTGTGGCTTCCTTCTTTTTACAGCGTCCCCAAGTACCCAATGACCACAATCAATATCATGCTCTGGTATGGCATTTGGGGTAACATGTCAGCAGGAGGCGAGAAGCAATCTCTTTTAAGCTCCAGGACATACGTTATGAATCCCCAATCTTCTCCAACAGGTGCATGGCTAAGCAAAGCATTTTGGATGGTTAGTTCCTGAACTGCTTCCCACAACACGATCTGTAAGTAGTTTGCTTGTGTTTCCAGACGTAGTTCTGCACACACAGAGCTGTGCTCAGCCCTCACGGGGCTAACCACTGTGGTTTCTCAGTATTGCAGTGTGGGTGGAGACCAAATTATCTCGCCTTTCTTCTTTGCAGCTTCTCACCCCAAAATGATGTGATTAACCCCCCTTTTAAAACACAAAACCAAAGCCAATCATGGAATAGCACTTACTTATCTGAACTTCAAGTGTCCTAGTGAAAAACCTCTGAATCACACATTTCATTAAACATATATATTGTTTAAATAGTCTATAATTTTGAATCAGGTGTAATCACTGCTTTATAAAATGATCACAAGGTTTGTGCATCTTCCATTATTATCTCAGACTCACTAGATTTTTGTTGCATTTTTAAAAATCAGAGATATAGCAATATAGTAATAATATTTGATTAATTAGAATATCTCATTTTCTAATCACACTTGTATTGAGGGTTTACTGTATTATTTATTTCAAAACAATCATCCATCAGTGAGTATTAATGCTAGAGAGAATGAAGAAAATAAAACCAAGATTTAAATTTGATTTGTAACAGCTTACTACCATTCTTCAAATCCTCTTTTATGTTCACAAACCCCCTAATTTATCTGAAAAAATAAAAATTCTGTTCAAACACTCAATTAAAGCAATCTGATGTGCCAGTAGTAAAGCAGGCAATTAACACCCTTCTACAGAGTCAGTTTTATTGCAAGAGATTATTTTAAATGACAGAATCCTGAGCAAAGCAGTCCTTTTGAAGTATAACTTGAGTTACAACCTTTACCTATTCATTGTAACATCACTCTAAAATGCAGTATTTGATGCTTGTGATGACCTTTCCTCAATACATAAAAGATCCCCATTAGATTTCTTTCCAAGTTTTTTCCCATCTTACAGAGTCACAGATAAAAGCTAGTAACTTAGCCAATGTCTGATTTAATAAATTAAATGGGAATGTATATCACAGATTTATAACTCTTATGCTCATGACTGGGATAGTTAAACACTATCCCAAAGATAGGTTATTCTGGAACAATTATTGGTATAAACACATCACCTTAGTAGGAAAGAACTTTTTTTCTTTTTTTGGTTGGTCATGCAGCTTGAACTCAGAGATTAGGTGCTGTCTCTGAGCTTTTTTGCTCAAGGCTAACACTCTACCACTTGGAGCCACAGTTCCACTTCCAGTTTTCTGGTGGTTAACTGGAGATAAGAGTCCCATGAACTTTCCTGTGATCCTCAGATCTCAGCCTCTTGAGTAGCTAGGATTACAGGCATCAGTGTCTGGCAGACAAGAGCTTTTGCTAGCTAGTGGGCTCATGGTTACACCTGGGCCATGTGGGTCTTAAAGTCTGTGGTATTTTTCTATCACATGCATTCTTCCCACAATTGGGAAGTTTTAATGTTTTGCATTCATAGTACTGTCTTTCTTTTCCATCATGTTCCTAAACAACTCTATATATTCCAAGAAATATAATACAGTACAGACAGTTTTATGTATCTGCTATCTATTAACTTGTCCTTGGTCTGATCTATGAACTTAGTAGACAGAGCTGAACTCAGGCCTCTTCTCCATTATGCCTTCTCATTTCCTGCTTCTTCAGTACTGAAGCAGGCAAGCGCTCTATCACTTGAGCCACACCATAACCCTGTGCCTTTCCATGTTCTAAACATGGAAGAACCATTTCCCTAAGCTCAGCCTCGACACTTTCAAACCATCCATGACTCAAACTTAACACTACTATCACCTTTTAAATTCCAGTTTTGGGTTCTCCCATCCCAATCCTTCTTCCCACTTTGGATCAGAATTACTCTTTGTGAGATAACAGCAAGTTTCCTTATAACCT